ACCTCTATCTACTATACCACCTACTTGCTCCTTTATAAATACATAAAAGTCACTGTTATAAGTATTTTGGCATATATATGTATGTATGTATGCATGTATGTGTGTGTGTGCATGTGTTTTACAACTAGTAGGCATATTCCCCAAGGTCAAAGATAGAAGGAACATACCAAAATATTTATAACAGGGGCTTTCATACATTTAGAATAGGGCAGCTACGTGGTACAATAGATAGAGCACTGAGCCCAAAGTCAGGAAGACCCAAGTTCAAATTTGTCCTCATTCGTTTACTAGCTGTATAACCCTGAACAAGTCTCTCAACCTTTGTTTGCCTCAGATTCCTCAACTATAAAATATGGATAATAACAGCATCTGTCTTACAGATGGGTTTGTTCTGAGGATCAAATGAGATAATATTTGTAAAGTGCTCAGCACAGTGCCTGGCACATAGCAGGTACTATATAAATACATATTCCCTTCCCCTTCCCCTCTTTTTCTAGTAGCTAAATTAGAAAGTATGTGAGAAAGCATTATGGTTCCTGATGACAATTCATATTAGTCAATATAGGGCTTTCTTTATATGTATTTTATCAGCCTCTTGGAGTAGGAAGGCACCAGGGCGTGAATTGGGTTAACTATATGCAGCAAAGAGAAGGTAAGCACAGGGATATTTTTGTTTGGCTTTGGTCAAGGACAGACCCAGCTCATGGTACCATGCTCTTTGGTACATGCCACAAAAATACCCTTCCTTCTCCCTTTGCTTTTCCAAATCTTACCCATCCCTTAGTTTTCCACCTCCCTCATGAATCCTTTCTTAGAGAGTTCCCATTTACCACAGAGACACTTGACAATATTTGTTCCATTCTCTGAATTTCTATAGCATTTCTACAGTCTGGACCATACAACCTAGCACCTGATTCTGTATAGCCTTGTATTGCCTCCAGTCACTTGACAGACTTAATCTTGTAGCCTCTACTAGACTGCAGTTCCCTGAAGATAGGAACCTTGTCTCTCTTTCTCATTCATTCAATATCTATTATATCACCTACTATACGAGGCAATTCAGGTCGATTCAACAAAGTACCAGGGTATGTACCAGGCACTGCTAGAGATAGTAAAACAAAAAGTAAACCAGTCCTTCCCCTCAAGGACCTTACATTTACTGCAGGGAGATAGGAAGAGAGATCAAAACCCAGAAAGTCCCAGCAGTCAGTTTCTCATCTTGTCAACTACAGCCTTCCATCTCCCATAGTGCTCAGCACATTTCTGGGTCCATAATAGCTGCTGAGTAAATTTTTGTTGACCACTACAGTCAATTCTCAATTTTCTGCACTAGGTTTGTAATTCCTGAGTTTCCATCCACTGATGATCAGGGGAGCCGCCTAGAATCAAAGCAGTTGCCGCATACCGTGCCCAAAGAACATAAGCCATGCATAGATAACCGAGTTTGAACTACTGTTGTCGTCAGTCGGTATGAAAACTGACACAGATCAAGAAAGAGAACAGGGGAGAAGTATTGGAATTATAGGGAATTGATATTTGAGAGCCAATTACAGATCAAACAGCCCAGCTTTACAGATGAGGGAACTGGAGGCCAGGGAGGTGGAGTGAATTGTTTGAGGTTACACAGCAACTTAGCATTAGAGATGAGACTAGAGCTCTTTTTCTGAACTTTTATATCCCACCCATTAGGACTCCTTGGATTTACTGGCAGGCCACCAACCCTGCCCAAAAGGCATGACCCTTCCTCTAGATACGGACACTGAAGCCTCCTAGGTTGTCAAAGACTGTCCATGCTATCAGGAATACTGTGTGGCCCTATCTGATCAGGGTCCTTTAAGACCTAAACAGTTCTTACCTGGAAGGTAAAAGGATAAAAGGCTCAATATCCTTGTCAATGCATCAACTCCAGTAGAGTTCTCCTGGGTCCTCTTGCAGGCTTCCTAATACCTTGCTGACACCATGTTACCTAACCTCATATGTTCCCTAGTCCTATCCTGATATCTTAAGCTGTACTGACCTAGTTGCCCGTAACTATAGATGACCCTCACCTTCTGGACACAGAGTCTTATACAACCCTGTTTCATTGCAGTGACCCAAGCTAACCCATGTTTCAATAATCATGAAGCAGCAGGACTCTTCCTAGTTCTGTATCATCATTACCATGACCTGGGTTGAGGTCTTCATCTTGTCTGTGTCTCTAAAGTGTCCTATAAATACACTCTATTCATCCTGGGGCTTGGTGTCCATCCAAGAGAGCACATTGGGAGCTTCCACCTGAGGATAGTTCTAGCTCGATGAGAAGTGTCCTATCTGGGGACCTGAGTCCACAGGGTACAATCTACTTCTCCCCTGACCCTGGTAGCCCAGCTGCACCTTCCAGAGGGCAATGGGACATTGGCTTAGGCACAGCCAATGTTGTTTTGACAGAGGAGGGGAAGGAGTAGGGGAAGGAAGCACAGGACATGTAGACATCAGAGAAGAAAGGAACTTGGGGACTCAACAAACAGACCAACTCAACACATGTGGGCACCTGTAGCAGATACTGAGGATTCAAAGATGAAAAACAAACCCTCTTTACCGTGAAGGAATTAACATTCAATAGGAAATAGCAATGGTTTGAGTGTCTCATGATTGGGATCTTTTGGGAATGACCCCACCTCCCCAGACAAACCCAGCATCAGTGTCAGAAACAGATCAGCTCCTCCTACAACAGGCTCTCCCCCCCATCCAGAGAGGAGAGGGATCCCCGCATGCATTCAGCTGTCCAGCCTCTGTTCGACTTTTGCTGATTACATGTCGTTAAGACACCCAACGTGTTTCTTCCAGGCATCGTTGAGCCCTTCCCAGGGAATTACCCATTATGCATTAGTTTTAATTGCAGGGTATTAGACATATTGGAGGACTAGGCCCCCAAAGCTTGGCCTCTGGTTCATCCTCTCTCATTTCTGTCTTTTTTCACCCTTGAATCAATCCAAACAACACCTCTCCCCAGGACCTGCTTCCCCCTTCCTTTGATCTGTCTCTCTCATACTTAACATCATCAACTCATTTCTCCTGTGGTCAAATACTTAGTGGGGGAGAGAGAACAGCAGGTCACCATCCTCCCTATAACAACCCTGCAGAGCTTTGATGGAGGTTATTATTAAGTCACTCCCCAGCCTCCTTTTCTTCAGGTTGAAGAATCCAGGTTCCTTTGATGCATGCACGCATGCGCGGCACACATACGAACCCACCCACACACAGAGGCTGGAAGACAAACTCTTTTTCCCCTTCCAAGCCCCGATCTGGGGGATGCTGGGGGTTGCCCTGGTGACTCCCCAGGTCCTTCCCAAAGGCCTCATCCATGAAAGGAGCCCTTTATTCTTCTATGTGAATAATATCTGTCTAGGAGGTAAGCTATTTTAACACTCATCTAATGACAAGGAGCTTTTGAGCACAATTCTTTAGCCATGTGAGAGGGAGACAAGTGGGGAAATTGATACTCCATCTGTATTAGTAAAAGGTTCAGGTCCAGTAGAGAAGCTAAGTGTTTCTTAGCTGAAGCTGTGAAAAGGGGTCTCAGAAATTCCCCTTCCCCCAAAACTGAAAATCTGTAAGAAGGATATGAATCTGTGACTCCTCCAATCTCATCCCGATGGGGCTCAGCCGCTAGCCCATGCCTACATTCCTCCAATCACTGGGCCTCCCTTAGGGAAAAGACTGGTTAAGGCCACTCAAGTTTAATCAGACTTTTTACTTACAGACCCAGAGCTTTGATTCTATGAACTGTAAACTGTACAAATGCAAAGGGATAGCTGGTTCAGTGGTTTGCCCTGGATCAAGCAGACAGTATATGTCATTGGTAGGACTTGAACTTTGATCTTCCTGCCTCTATATCAGCACGATTTGGTATCTCTTGGGCCTGAAACACTTAGAAATTGGGTGGGAGCTCTCTCTCAGCAGAAATAATCAATAAATTAGTTTGTGATCAAATAAAATCCCAATCGATCTAATTAACGTTGACCATGTGAACAAATGAATAGATAGCTCTTCTTTCCTTTTTTTCAAAGTGTTCTTCTACCCCCTCAGCTTTAATCCCTTGGATTCCTTGCCCATGGAGAAAAAAGCTCTCTAGCGTGAGAGCCGATCTGAGTGTTCCCTCTTTACTGAAGGATTCTCAGCCTCACCAGGAAACTATCCCTGATAGGCTCTCCCAGTCCCAGCATTCCACCCAGCACAGAACCACAGAACTCATATGAACACCGTATGCCCTAGTAATTTGCCTCCATTTTCGTCTCTGCTGCCTGGGACTGTGGTCTGGATTCTGGGCCTGCTGTCAGCCCTTTCAGACGGGGGATCCTTTTGGTGAGCTTCCAGTCTCTCCCATGGTGCTGGAAGTGCCCCCAACAACTGGGCCAGATCTCAGCCCTTTTCCTCTGTATCTTCCCATCCACCAAGAACCATCACGAGACACAAAACTAATTAGATACCAATGGCTCCCCAGGTCATCAGACCAAAAGGAGAGGGAGGGACTAAGACGATGAATCTAAAAGCTGTGAAGGGTTTCTTCTTTTAATCAAAATGTTTGAACTGGTCGCTTCTGTGTAACGGATGGGTTTGGGGGTTGTTGCTTCATTGATCGCTATTGGTCAGCTGGGTGGCCTGGTGGATCGAGTGCTAGGGTTGGAATCAGGAAATCCTGAGATTGAATCGCACCTCAGAAATGTATTATTTGTGCTACCCTGGACATGTCACTTAAATTCTTTTTTAAGCCTCAGTTTCCTCATCTGTGAAACAAAGATGATAATAATAACACTACCTTTACAAGGTTGTTATGAGGCTCAAATGAGATAATGTGCAAAGTGCTTTGTACACCTTAAAGCATTATATAAATGCTAGTTATTATCAGTCAGTCCTGCAGAGTTCATCACCAACCTGCCTTTCAGGAGTACCATCTCCCTGCTGCCCTCAATTCCCACCCCTTCAACTTCCCAACTCCCCTCCCCCAGCCTTTCCCCTACCTCACATTGTCATGTTTCTGGATGTAAATCTTGTGGAACATCATATCTTCTTGCTTGGCATTGATGTCCGCTTTCATCTCCATGGCAACGTGACGGGGAAGGACAGACAGCAGGAGACGCTCCTGGGGAGAGAAGCAGACACAGCCATCACTGCTCCTACCTCCTGCCTCACAGCCTGTTTTCCTCCCTGGGACTTCTCCTCTCGGACACAAGCTAGGCCTCCCTTAACGTGTTCCCATCAAAAATCTCATAGTAAACATGAAAACAGGACCGGCTCTCTAGTGTCACACTGCAAGTAGCTCCCACCAGGGGGAGCATGGGAGCCAGAGAGCAGCCCTGAGAACTAGGAAGTATATTTTTGTTTTGTTTTGTTTTTTTAAAAAACAACTGGAATTTCACTGATATGGGAAACTCCTAGCTAGGAGACTTTTTCCACCAGCGAGGAGCAGCACCTGCTTCTCCATTTAGTAAGTGCTTAATAAATGTTTGTTGACTTGAGGGAGCCCAGAGTTCTGGGATCCTGAGATGACTCGGTAAGGGTCAGATAAACAGTATGTCTGAGTTAGGATTTGAACTTAGGTCTTCCTGACTCAGAGACTGGCTCTCTGTTATTCACTCTATGCCACACTGACTCTCAGGAGCACAATTTTGATGGAGAAGCAAGACTTGCTTCTATCATCTTCCCTTTCTGCTGATTCTTTGAATCATTCCATCACAGAGTCCAATCAACATTGCCAACAGATTGGGGTGAGGGGGGGGTCAGTCAGGCTCTACCCCAATAAGATTCTATGTCTGTTTGTGTGTGTCCCCAGTGCCTCCTCCTTCCCCCCATCCCAACCAATTTTCCTCTATGTGTCTGTTTTTGCCCCTAGTTAATTATCCCTATTCCATGATAAATGGTATCTGGTTACTCCTGGTTTCCCTTTCTCCCTGTCTCTAACTTTGTCTCCATTGTGACTCTAACTACAAAACCTGTTGATTCCTATTCTCCAAATCCATCAAGCCAGGCATAAACTTCTCAGTCCTGCTGCCTCCAAACAAGCTTTCCCAACCATCTGACCCTCCAGGTCTGCCTCTTCCAAACTCCTTCTCTTGTTACCTACTAGGAATCCTCCTTTTTTCCATAAGATTATAGATATAAATCTGAGAGAAATGATCATTAAATAACCAATTATTAATATTGGGGAAATCCAGGATTTTTTTCCCTTCCTCATTTGGAGATTAGGTCAAAGCTTATTTCTCTGAAGGGTAGGGCAGGACGATGAGATGAAATCTTGGAGCTGTTGCCCTACCCAACCAGAGAACCTGACAAAGAATTTAATCTAAGGTGAATTCTTGGCCTACAGTGTTCCTCTCCAGTCTTGGATGGGGGTAGATCTTTTGTCTAGAATGCCCAAGGCTGGGGGTGGTCTGGAAGTAAATAATCAAAGTCACATTCCCAGCCTCCCCATTAGAATAGATCCACCTCTCATTACAATATTTATTCTTTTTATTAATTGTTAGCCAACCAGATTTGATTGCCACCCTCAGAAAAAACCACTGTTCCAAGGGCATATACATATTGAGCGGGTTCCATGAGGGGTCTCTGGCATTGGAGAGTGCCACTGACCCCTTTTATTAATTATCTGCTAGCATGATTAATAAAATTATTAATTACCCAGAAACTATGTCTCTCAAACTTTTAATATTTCATAAAGCTAAAGGAGACCTTAGAAGCTATCCCAGTCCAATCCCCTCATATTTTATAGGTGAGGAAACTGAGCCCAAAGAATTGAATTACCCAAGGTTACCCTGGTGGTAATAGGGTGGGATTTGAAGTCAAGACCTCTGGCTTCAGAGTCAGTGTGCTTTCCCACAGAGTCATTTCTACTGAAGTCTCACCTTTTCTCTTAGCCACCCCTCCCAAACTAAAATCCTGGTCTCTCCTGGTTATCACATCCATGGCCAATGGAAACCATACCTTTTCCCACTCTACTGATTGAATGGGAGATAAGGGAAGGTTCAGCTTTCTTCTCAAATCCGAGTGCACCTCTTCCTGCTTCTCATCATTTGAAGTACATGCCACCTGTCTATCCTATCCCCTTCAAGTCACTGTTTCTGTCACCTGCCCATCACCTTACATCTGAAACCCTTTTCTGACATTCCTCTCCCATCTACCCTGAACATCACTGCTGAGCTAATCTTCCTAATGGGTCTTTTTATCATGCCATGCCTTGTCTCAAAGACCCTGAAAACTCCCTCTTACCTACCCTATGAAATGAAAATCCCTGCCCTAGGAATATACTTCTCTACCCTGGCTTATGTCTGTCCCTCCCAGCCACCCATTCAAAACCTTTCCATCCTCCTGCATGAAATCTCCCCAGCTTGCTCCAGTCTTCACTGATAACAATAGTTTACAAAGAAAACATGTAGAGTTGTAACGACAGATGATTACACATGCGATGAAATGCCAAAGCTGTGTTTCTAATTTTCATTTCATTATTAGCAAACTCCCTCACGTGGCCTTGTCGCTTTCCCTTCTGCCCACCCCTCTCCGCACCACCCTCTTGGTGAGCTCTTCGCCAAGGTTACAGTGTCATTGTGACCTGAAGGGTTGGGGAGGGTGGTTTCGAGGCAACTTGAATCCAGGAGGTGAATGGGGTAAGGAGGAGGAAGATAGGGGGGTGGGATCCTCACAACTCAGTGAGATAAGTACTACAATTATTCTTCCCATCGTGCAAATAAGATAAATTACTTGCCCAAGCTCACACAGCTAATAAATGGCAAAACGCTTGAGCTTGAACTCCAAATTCAAGGCTCTTCACTGCATGACCTGCCTCTTTGGAGCTAAGCTAATTACCTTGCTTGGTAAGTGCTCCCTGTGTGCCTACCAACCAACTAGTTTCTAAGCTCCTTGAGTGATGGGGCCCTGTCACCCACTGGGGCCTAATGAAATTCTAAGCACACAGTAAACACTCTTTAAATACTTGGCTGATCTATGAAAGAGCTAGGCAATAATTTGAAGGCAATAAGAGGACTGGAATTGAAAATCAGGAGACCTGGGTTCTAGTCCAGTACTAATTAGCTTGTATGAACAAGGATAAATCACTTCCCCCCTCCTGGCCTTGGTTTCCCCATCTGCAAAAGAGAAGATTGAGCTAGATGATCTCTAAGGTCCTTTTTACCTCTAACAGCGTATGTATGACTAAGATCATATAAGTACAATCGGTCAACAAGGATTTAGTAAGCATTTACTGTGTGCTGCCATTATGCTAAAAACTTGTTGTCCAGTCATTTCAGTCATGTCCAACTCTGTGACCCCATCTGGAGTTTTCTTGGTAAAGATACTGGAGTGGTTTGTCATTTCCTTCTCCAACTCATTTTACTAACTAGGAAACTGAGGCAAACAGGGTTCAGTGACTTGCCCAGGATCACACAGCTAGTGTCTGAAGCCAAATTAAACTCAGGAAGATGAATCTTCCCAACCCATGGCCCAGCGTTCTCTCCACCTCACCACCTAGCTGCCCCTCTGCTGAACACGACAAAGACAAAAATGCAACAATCCCAGCCCTCGGACCTTTCATTCTATCCAGGCAGAGAACATGGAAGTTTATACATTTCGACAAATGTACCCAAGGTATGTTAGGGAGGGAGAGTGTTAGCATTTGGGGGAAGTGAGAAAGGATTGCAGAAATCAGTATGGGACATGGGCAGGCCTGGGCCTGCTTCTGGGGCCAAGTGCTAGTGCAGTTCTCAGCCCCCTCCCACACCAGTGCGCCCTAAGGACTCCCACCTCTATTTCAGTTGTTTCCCCTAAACTGGGCCAAGAGAAAAGCTCCAAATGAGCATCTATTGCCTTGTACTTACTGTAGTCCCCAAATGGATACTAAACACGTGATCAAAGAGGGCAGGGGCAGCTAGGTGGCGCAGTGGATAGAGCACTGACCCTGGAGTCAGGAGGATCTGAGTTCAAATCTGACCTCAGACACTTGACACTGGCTGTGTGACCCTGGGCAAGTCACTTAACCCCAATTGCCTCACCAAAAAATTAAAAATAAATAAAACAAACAAACAAGCCAAAGAGGGCCTAGGCATTCCTGGAAAAAGCAGAGGAAAATAAATGTCTTTGTCCAAAAAGTAGAACCTCTTCGTCTCTGTTCCTTGAGGTCCTATCTCTCCCTTAGGCAACATGTGGCATAGTGGCCCTAACCAAGAAACCATTGTGGATGGGTGTGCTGTCTTCACAGTCATAGGCCAGAGGAATAAAACTGTAATGGAATTAGGGAAATGCTAATAGAGGCTAATGTCTGCTCAGGCTCAAACAATGGACTGAAAGATCTAATACCCTGAAAGACTGATCTGTCCTTGTGGAGTCAAGGATAAACTCGCTTTTAGGGGCTGCGAAAGGGATCTCAGTTTTCTTTCAGCACACAGTCTGACCCTCTCCTTTGCCTTTTTTTCCATTCCATTTTGAATCATACCTCCTTGTGTACACAGAAGGGTATTGCCTCCATTCACCCGAAAGCTCTTCTTTGAGTGAAGGAGACGATATTGTTTTTGCTGTTTATATTCTCTGATCTAACACAGAGCCATACATATAGTAGATGCTTAACAAAAGTTTGTCACCTTGAATTGAGAAAGAAGAGAGACACCAGGGAAGAGACCCAAATGGGCTGATCCAAACGGGATGTTCAGTGTGTGACTAGAGCTGCCTATTTGATGCATAGCACACAAACAGCAGACCTGGGGTCCAAGAAGACCTGGGTTTAAATTTTACCTCTGACACATACTGGCTGTGTGGCCGTAGGTCCTCAAGGCTCTAAGAAACTCTCTTAACATTATCGGTTGCAGAGAAGGTGCTGACTTGCTTTGATAGAGTTTCTTTCCTCTTCTGGAAGTTTACGAATGAAATCGCAGGTCCTTCCCTATCCTCTCTCCTTATCCCTATTAAAACTATTACTGTTGTTGTTCAGTCCTGTCTGACTCTTTGGGACCCCAATAGGGGTTTTCTCTGCAAAGACACTGGAGTGGTTTGCCATTTTCTTCTCCAGATGAGGAAACAGAGGCAAACAAGGTGAAGTGACTTGGCCAGGGTCACACAGCTCGTAAGGGTCTGAGGCTGCATTTGAACTCAGGAAGGTCAATCTTCCTGACTCCAGGCCCCATGCCCTATCTGATGCGCCACCTAGCTACCCTTTCTATTAAAACTACAAATGCATAATTTCCAATATGAGTAAGAGGAGGGAGTTTCTTACCCATCTTATGTGAGCTAAGCAAGAACCTGATACTACAATGTGCCGAGAGTAGAGGCAAGGCCATCGTCCTCTGGGGGAATTTCAAGCTACATCCACATTCTGTGTGACACCCTGCATGTCTTCCCCAGCCCTCTCACTGCAGGTGAAGACTGTTCTTTCTCTGATAGCCCCCCCTCTTTGCTCCAGATCTCCCAGCATTTTGTTCCAGGTTTTGTATACAAGATGAATAACTGAGAAGGACTGATTATTCCTGACCCTCACTCCAACCCCACCCTTTCATCCATTCCTGATAATGAAGAGCACAGGATTCTAAGACTAACCCCCTCACCCCACCTCCTACCACTCCCACCCATTTGTACACCAGCTGCCCAGGGCAGGGATGGGCAGTGGTATACGGAGCAGAGGTATTTTTGGTACTCACATTTCTGCTTCCAAAGGCCTATTTGATTTATTTACAAAAGGGAGGGGAGAAGTCAGGCAGGGAGGTGGCGGGGGTGGGGGGGCAGGGAAGGAAGGTCAGTGGGTTGAGTTCTCTCTCCAGGGTACCTAAAGAAAAAGATTCCCACAGAGTCAGGAATGCCAGTCCCTTTCCATGGTAAACATTCCCATGTCAGCTGGGCCCCAAACCCATGACCAGGGAAAATGAAGCAAAAGGCTTTGTGTTCAAGGTGAAAAGAAATATGGGAGAGGTGGGCAGGGAGGCTCCCATATACCCAGCTAGCAGGGCTTCTCCTCCCTGCCCTGACAGCAGAGCCTAGACTAACTCACTCTCCCATCCCACCCAAGCAGAATGGAGGCCAAAGGAGGGAAAGGGGAGGGGGCAGCTTGAATCATCAGCATCACCATCACCTGGAGTGGTGGTTGGTCATTGTATTGATTAGGGTTCCTAAGGCTTTCAAAGTTGTTTGTCTTTACAATATTGTTGTTATTATCTAAATCATTCTCTTGGTTCTGGCTCACCTAGGTCTCCATCACTTCGCATAATGACTCCAGAAGTCTGAGGATGAAGAATGCTACCTATCTCCTGCAGAGAAGGTGATGGACCCAGGGAACAGAATGAACACATTCAGATTTAGACACAGACAATGTGGGAATTTGTTTTCTTGGCTATGCATGTTTGTTACAAGAGTTTTTCTTTTTCCTTTTTCCAGTAAGGGGGGAGGGTAAGGTGGGAGGAAGAGAAAATATATGCTTGTTCTTTGAAAAAAAAAGAAAAGAAAATAGATTTTTTTTTCTTAAGAAGAAAGGAGTAGGGGAAGGGATTCGTCTTCAGACCATCTCACCTGCTGCTGGTTTTCCCTCTGTGAGTGCAGCCGAGCCTGGATACATTCCCTCGTCTCCTGGAAGGCTTGTCTTTGGGAGACCTCCGCTGGGTAATGGGTACATACTCCCACAATGTTGGTACAGGAGAAGATGAGGACATTGGAGACAAGCTGCAATATTGGGAGTAGAAATAAACACAGGTTAGTGTTCACTGGGGCCTGCATTTGGTCCACGTAGCCTCAAAAAAATAAGGGTCATGTAACCTCATATACAGATTGTGCCCAGGTTTTTCAGCCATAACGTTCTTTAGCCCATGTTCAAAGTCCTGCCCTCCAGGACTCCCAGGGTGCTCTGAATCAGGATTCTGTGGGATCCCCAGTCAGGGATCAGAGATGCCAAATACAGCCTGTCTCTTCTTGATTTTCTTCCCTGACTTCATCTGGGTCCGGGTTTTGCTTGTCTTTCCTAAGTTCCAGAGCTGGTCTAATGTTAATAGTCCATAAAGACACAGGGATAATTAAATAAAAACTACCAAACACATACATAAAACAGATTAAATATTTACCTTGGCTACAAATCAAACTTTGAATTCATTAGTGGGGCAGCAAAAAGGACATGTAGGGTATGTGGTTGAGGTGGGTGAAAAGAGATGACACAATTAAAGGATTCTGAATGTGTGACCATGCCCCAGTGATTTCAGTTGGACATTGGTGTCAGTTGCTCTATCAATAGATGTTCATCAGGTTCCTGCTATTTAGGGAAGCAGTGTCATTCGAGTCAGGAGACCTGGACTCAAAGTCAGCTTTGGACACTGAACTACCTGTGTGACCTTAAACAAGTCACTTGATCTTGGCTTCCTCACCTATCAAGTGACAAACTTGGTGTGAATTGTTCCATGGCCCCTTTCTGTACATCTCTGTATACATCCTTTAGTCAACAAGTATTCATTAAATTGCTGCTGTGGAGGGGCAGCTAGGTGATCCAGTGGATAGAATGTCCGGTAGGAAGACTCATCTTCCTGAGCTCAAATCTGGCCTCAGACACTTACTGGCTATGTGAACCTGGACAAGTCACTTCACCCTGTTTGCCTCAGTTTCCTTATCTGTAAAATGGGCTGGAGAAAGAAATGGCAAATCACTCCAGCATCTTTGCCAAGAAAACCTCAATGGGGTTATAGAGGGTCAGACACAACTGAAAAACGATTGAACAACAACCGAACAGCAACAGTTGGGTAATACAGTCTCTCGCTCCCACCATAACTGTCTCCAGGGATTCTTAATGTGATGGATTTCAGATCTCTGGGAAGGACTTGGATGGGAAAAAAAATTCCACCTTTATTTTCACTAACCTTTGGTTTCCTTTGTAATTTATGTTATGCCTTCAAAAACCTTATTTTGAGAAGGGGTCACTAGGCTTCACCAATTTGCACAAGAGGTCCATGACATAAAAAAGTTAAGAATTTTTATGGTAGGAAGCGTATCTCCACTTAATCTTGACCAAGGAAAAATTCTGCCCCCCCCATTCAGAAGAGGTTATGTTTGTGATTTGTCAAAAGAAATTTTTGATAAGAAACTAAATGAGGAAAAAGACCTATCAACACAAAGGCATAGAAAGAAACAAATCTGCAGATTTTGGGTTCCAATATGAACAGCTAAAATCCCAAGATCTGCTTGGTTGCTGGGGCTCATGAGGCACTCTGTCTCAAGTATACTTCTCCCACCTGACCCTGTCTAGGTTAGATGCTAAGCAAAGAGACCAAAACTTCTACTTAGGGAAAATTTGAGTTGCCACTCCTAGGTTTGATGGCACCCTCAATCCCTCACCCAACCTGCTCCCAATCTAATGGAATCCTCAATTTCCACCCCAAATCTTGTTTTGTTTTCTCTTTAGGTGTTATTGACCACCAAGGTCTTTCTCACTGGAACTGAGCTGAGTCAAACTTCTGATCTGCAGCTTTCCAGGCCGATTCTGGTCCTTCTCTGATCCCTGACAGTGAGAACTGTACAGAAGTGGAATGGGCCGTCTTCCAAGGTGGAGGCTTCCTCCTTCTGGAGGTTTTCCAACAGAGGCTAGATCACCACCTTTCAGGCAGTTTTCAGGTTATACAGAAGATTCCTTTTGTGGGCTGTATGGTTGTGAAGATCTCTTCCAACTCTTAAAATCTGTGAAACTGTTGTCTCTCGTCCATCTGAATGACGCAGGTACTTCTCTATGTGCTCCCTCAAAATTTTCCCCCGTGCTTTTAGGCAATCCCACACTGTCTTTGTAAATGTGTTCTTTATCACTCTTCTAGAAGTCTACAATTCCAGGCTTCTCGCATCCTGCTTACTCTCCTGGCTCATTTGATTTGCTCGAACCACACTCATGAGGCTGTTAAGATCAGGTTTTTTACTTATGGCTCTAAGACAGTATTTCAATTCTTGAGTTTTCCTATTTTGAGGCGCATCTTCCTTTTTGGACCCACCCACTGAGTTTCATTTTCCTGCCTAAGGAACGCCTGCATCTTTCTACTCATTTTAAGAACAAAGATGAATGAAGAGTCAGACCTCAGTGTATGATCAAGCTCAGATTATCAGACTGATTACTTCCAAGTTTCACAGGAAAGGTAGAATGTAAACTGAGATTTGGGGGTGGGGTGGGGAGGTGGACAGGCAGACAGAGGTGAAGAAGGTATTCTAATCCAAGGAAAAATACATAGAGGTAAATCATTGTATAGAAATGTATGATTTGAGGTGAAGGGCTTAAGTGGAGATACTTAGATACACATTTGGAAAAGCAAATTGTGACTAGTTTTGAATAATAGGCTAAGAATTGCGGACTTCATCTTAGAGACAGTAAGTAGTGAACAACTTAAGATTTTTTTTTGCTTTTTTTTTTTGTGGTGAGGCAATCGGGGTTAAGTGACTTGCCCAGGGTCACACATCTAGCAAGTGTCAAGTGTTTGGTCTGAGGCCAGATTTGAACTCAAGTCCCCCTGACTCTAAGGCTAGAGCTCTATCCACTGTGCCACTTAGCTGCCCCTAACAACTTCAGATTTCTGAGCAGCTCAATGAAAGCAGCATTTTAGGGAGATGAATCTGTCAAAACTTAGAAGAAGGGATTGAGCAGGCACAGACTGAAGGCAGGAAGACCAGTTAGGAAGGTACTGACATAGTCCAAGCATGAGATAAGAATTATGGTAGTAGCAGAGGGATTAGAGAGGATTAGACATTACCAAGGAGAAGAAAAAGAAAGAATGATTCCATAAGAATTGGCGATTAAAGTGACCCAAACCAAGAAATGAAAGAGTTTCAAGAAAGGGGATTGGAACAACATTCTCTTTCAGTAGACTGTCAAAGAGGTTCATAGATTCAAAGACTTGGAGTTATCCTTGATTCTGCCCTCTCCTCATGGCCTACTGATTACTAAGACTTAGTGGTCCCACCTCTGCAACATCTGCCACCCTTTCTCCACTCACAGTCTCAGCCTGAGGTCAGCCCTTTATCTCTTCTTTCCTGGACTAATCCCACCTCCTATTAGCTGTCAACCTCCAAGTGGAGGTCTCATCTGTAAAAGGAGAGAAGAGATAAGCTTGATGGCTTCTAAGATTCCTTCTAGTTCTAAATGTATAATCATATGATCGCATAATCCATCTTCCATACAACTATCCTAAAACAGATCTGACCATGTCACTCTCCTATTCAAACATCTTTATCCTGATATCTCTCTCACAAATCTTTCCAGTATTATTTCATTTTACTCACCTTTATGCAAAATCCCTCATAGGCAAATTGGCCTTCTGTCTTTTCCAAACATATTCCATCCCATTGCCCACCTCCATAATTTTATATAGGTAAGCCCCCCATGTCTGGAATGAACTATCTTTTCACCTTTGTTTTATAGAATCCCTTTGAAGGACAGCTCAGGCACCATCTCTTCCAGGAAGCTTTTCCTGATCTTCAACACCTAGTTGTTACTGCTCTCTCCCCTTTGAAATTACTTAGTGTAGATAGAAACTATTTGGGAGTGTATCTACCAAGATACAGCTAAGAACTTTATGAATTCAACCATAAAACACTCTTTGCAAAAAGAGACATAAATAATTGGAAAAAAATTCATTGCTTGTGGATAGGTTGAGCCAAAATAATAACAATGACAATACTATCTAAATTAATTGGCTTAACCATACCAAACTACCAGGAAATTATCTTATAGAGCTAAAAAAAAATTATAAAACTCACTTGGAGAAACAAAAGGTCAAGAAATCTCAAGGGTAATAATGAAAAAAAAATGGGAAGGGGGGGTGTCAATCAGTGCCAGAGCTTAAATTTTACTACAAAACAATAATTATTTTAAAAGATTTTGTTCTCTTTGGGTCTAGGCCTTTGGGTATAGTTACAAAAAAGGTGGTCAATTAGTGGGAAAGAATAGGTATACAATGTATGGAAGCAAGTAAACATAGTAGCATAGTTTGATAAACCCCCAAAACTCCAGTTATTGGCAAAAACTGCTGGGAAAAACTGGAAGGCAATTTGGTAGAAATTGGGAAAAGAACATTTCATAACATATACCAAAATAAACTGCAAACAGACACAAGACTTAAACACAAAAGGTGATATCATAAGCAAATTAAAGGAACAAGGAGTAAATTACCTTTTAGCTATATGAATTGGGAAAGAGTTCATGACTAAATATGCAACAGAAAAGAATCAAAGAAAACAAAGTGGCCAATTTTGACCACATAAAATTGAAAAGTAAGTTCTTGTACAAACCATTCTAATGCAATTAAAATTACAAGCGAAACAGGCAACAGAAAAAAAAAGTCTTTTCATTAAATTTCTCTGATAAAGGTCTCATCCCAGATATATAAGTAATTGATTCAGATTTATAAGACCGAGTCTTTCCTCCAACAAATACATAGTAATTACATAGTAGAAGGATGCAAACAGGTAGTTTGCAAAGGAAGAAATCTAAGTGGCCAGTAATCATATAAGAATGTCCGAAACCACAAGTAATTAGAGAAATGCAAATAAAAACAACTCTGAGATTTCACCTCCCATACATAAGATTGGCAAAAATGACAAGTAGGGAAAATGACAAATGTTGAAGGGGCTATGGGAAAATAGGCACACTAATGCATTGCTGTTGGAACTATGAATTTATCTAGTCATTTTGTAAAGCAATTTGGAAC